TATATATGGATATCCTCAACAGAATGTTAAAAAATCAAATCCAGAGGGCGGTGCTTTCAGCGGTATTTTTACGGGTGATGGTGATAGAAACTTTTGAGGGAAATAACCAGCTTTTAATTAAATGCCTTAGGCCTTGACATTTTATGGTCTCTGTCTTCACTTCTTCTCATGCCTGTTTCTTTTCTCTCCTCACTTGAACTTCAGGCAATATTAATTTTGGAGATGCTGTTCTCTGAATTATCATCTCCCTCTATTCTTCTATGTATCACTAAATGCTGGATCAGGGGCATTTCTCTAAGTCGGGATGATCCCCAAATCTCATCAAACAAAATAACTCGAGTCCTTTCCTGTCACACTAAGCATGGGCTCAGCCTCTTCAACTCCCGGCCCTAAATGACTAGAAAGACAGCTTTATTCCTAAAACTCTAACCCAGCGTTGGAAAAGCAGAGGGCGGGCTCCAGGACAAAGTGTTGCAAAGAACAGGAGTGGCCACAAGAGGTCTTCCAAGTCCAGAGGAAGGGGACTGGATGACACGGTTCTAGTACATCTATACATTCTCCAAATTCATAGAAGGCGAGAAAAAACACTTTATGATCATGAAAAAAAAATAAGTTGAAAAATATCCAACTGCCATTCACGATTAAACATCTGCAGCACAGTAAAGTAGGAAGAAACTCCCTAGCATGTCTACAAGAAACCTTCAGCAAGCACACTCAGTAGCAAAAAGTCAGAAGCATTCACATTAAATTCAAGAACACGGGGAAAATGTTCACTGTCAGTGCTCCCTTCAGCACATCCCTAGAGGTTCTTATTAACATATTAAGACAAGAAAAATAAAGTGGAAAGGAAGAGGCAAAAGAGTCATTATTTTTAGAAAATGTGATCCTAATGAATTGGATGTGATGGGGACAGATAAAGAGAGATCAAAATGATACCTAGGCTTTTGGCTTAAGCTATCAGTGTTTTTCAGACATTTAACTTATATGATACGAAATGAAAGTATGGGATTAAGAGAAAATATCAAATAGACAGTTTGATATATGAGTCTAGACTTTAGAGGTTTGGAGTACAGAATTAAGAGCAGATATTAGAGAGGCAGTTTAACAGATGAGTCTAGACTTCAGAGCAGAGGTTAGGTCTGAAAATATAAATTTAGAAGTCATCAGAATATAGATGGTATTCAAAGCTTCAGGCCAAATTGAATCACTTAAGAACATTGAGAATGCTGCAGGGCAACATTTTGAGGCAAGCAACTGAAATTGGGAAGGACTAGCTCCTCGAGATAAGAGGAAAGTACAAACTTATAGTATCACAGAACCATGGGAAAGAAACATTTTTGTAAAAGGGGGAGAAAGGAGAAGATGTCAACAGTCATATATTGTTGAATGTTGATGAGAAGTCATGTAAAATGAAGGTAGAGAAGTAACCTTGGGATTTATCCCTATGGAGCCCATCGGTGACCTTGACGAGGTAGGTGGTGGGTGAGTTAGAAAACCAACTGGGGTGGGGGGTGGGGGTCGAGGAATCTGAGACAATCCATACTCAAAATGCTTTTGATACACTGTTCTTGGTAAGAAGCAGAGAAAAATAGGGATCCCTGGCGAGATAAAAGACCAAGGGAAGAGTTTGTTTTTTAAGTTGATGAGATACTAGAGAATACTTACATGTAGTTGCAAATAATTCAGTATGGAGAGAGAAATTATGACTGATGGGTTGGAAAGGGGGAAAACATAAACTAAATTTAGTTTTATATGAAATTGTAAAGTAGCTTACAAGAGAAGAAGATGAGATAGAACAAATCCATAGGTCAGTCAGACAAACTGATTTTCTATCGGCTCAATTGGATTCGAGATTTGTTATATGCTTGAATTTTAAGAGACTAATGTGTAAAAGATGCATATTTTTCTTTTAAAGAAATATGACTAGCTCAGAGATTATTTTTCATAATAGTAAAGTATCTAGATTTTCCCCTAACAGTAGCACCTTATGTCTGAATATATCTGTAGGTATCTGGGATGAACCTATATTGGCATAAAGGCTTATTAATTTATAGCTAAAAATTTTCTATGGATGAAAATGTGCCAATTTGACTGGAATAATAGACTGCCTATCTGCTCTCAGCTCAATTCTGCTTAACTTTAACCTGACACAGTGGCATTTTTAGGGTTCTCTCTCTCTCTCTCTCTAGCTGCTCAGCTTTTGGATCCTGGTTCTCTTTGTGAAACTCCTCAAATGTCTGATTTGGCAGGGAACACAAGGCCCTTCTTCATAGTGGACTAGCTAAAAATATCAAATAACATATTCCTTCCCCTCCACTCTTGTAGCTGGAGTCAGGTCAGTCCAAGTCCACTGGGAAGTTGAATCTTAAGCTGGCGACACAGGGGACTGTAGGAGTATGGAACTAGTTTTATTGGTAGCATCCAGTGGCCAGTGGCCACAGCAGCAGCATAGTAACCAAACTCTTCCTGTGGCATAATTTTAGCTATATTTCTGAACATCTAGATCCTGGTTCCTAGTATTCACGCTTGGTTTTCCGCACACTCCATGAATGATGAAAACCATCCAAATTACTTCTAGTGAATTCCTTCCCTGAAAAGTTAGCTGAGCTTTCTTTTTTGCTGCTTGCCGGCCAGGATCCCTGAGTGATACTCTAGGTACACTCGCAATTGTAGCATCCTCAAGACGACCTGCCAGCCTCTTCCTCCAAGAATTCCGCCCAACCCTTGGAATCTCTGGAAGCCCAAACAGTACTTTTTCTCCTTGTATTAGGTCCTATTTGGCTCAGTGTGATCTAAATCTTAGCCACCTCCAGCTGTTTTTAGAATCAGGCAGAGGAAAGGAGAGAAAGAATGAGTATAAAATACTTATAACCAGACTATACATCTGTAGAAAATTGAATTTTTTTGTTTCATCTTTGTGTGCCACCTTCTCCAATGCTAAGCAGTACATTGCACGTAGAAGGTTCTCAGCAGGTATTTGTTGAGTAGATAAACCCAGAAAAAAATAAAAACTGGAAAACAGTACAGAATAGTAGAGCGAGAGCTGAAATACGGGTGAGGAAATAAAACATCCTCTTTCTCTACTATCTTGAGGTACGCTCTGAGCAGCATTTTCCTTATTTGTAAAATGAAGAGGCAAAATAGCTCTAAGTAACGTTCAGCTCAGAAATGCTTTGATCTTGGAATAAATATACTTGAGATTGAGTACTAGGATTCAGAACTCTACTGTACAAGTTAAAAAATAATAATTCTTTCTTTCTGGAGGAATATATGGGGTTATGTCTCAAGCATTTTTTCCAGCATTCAGCAGAATAAATGTAGGTTTCATTAATTAGTAAAGCTGTAAATTCCAGTGTGTTCACATTTGTG